TTCCAACTTAGGAGCCAAACGACGAAAATGCTCCGTGAAATTCCATCGGCTGTCGAGGACGAGACCCAGGTACTTCATCGCCGACTCGACGCCGATGGTAACTCCTCCTGCCATTATTTGGGACCCATCTGGAGGTGGCGCGTTCCGACGGCCATAAAAACACATGGCCTCGGATTTGTGAAGCGCCACCTCGAGTCCCAACTGCCGGATCCTTGCAACGACTGTCGCGACCGCTTGCGACATCAGGTCGGCCGCCGCCTGATGTGACCTCCCATTCGCCAGCACCAGCGTGTCGTCAGCATAACAAACAATGCTGACGCCGCTCGGGAGGTCGGTGCGTAGCACCCAATCGTACCCGATGTTCCACAGGAGAGGTCCCAGGACCGATCCCTGTGGAACACCGCGCGATACCTCTCGCCGATTCCACACGCCCCGGTGACCGAGGTAGATGACGCATCTGTCCGTCAAGTAAGCCTCGACTACACGTCGGAGATAGGCAGGCACCCGGTGATACCGGAGTGCCTCCAGATTGCAGCTCCAGGGCAACGAGTTGAAGGCGTTGACGATGTCCAGAGACACCGCCACGACGACTCGCCCCCTGGCCAACGCAGTCCCCGTCGTGAGGTCCCTCACGCGCATGATGGCGTCCACCGTGGAGCGCCCTCTGCGGAAGCCGAACTGGCCGTCCGCTAAATCCGGCCCCCTTCCAGACAGGTGCCCGACGAGGCGGTCTGATATTATCCTCTCGAACAGTTTTCCCACCTCGTCGAGCAGCACAATGGGCCGGTACGCGGACGGAGAGTCCGCAGGACGCCCCGGCTTCTTCACGAGGACCAGTTTACCCGTCTTCCACGACAGCGGAAACTGGCCCCTCTCCAAGCATGCGCTGAAAAGACCAATTAGTCGAGGCCTGAGAGCCTCCGAGGCCAGGACCCAAACTTTGGCATGCAGCCCGTCAGGTCCTGGGGCGGTGTTCTTGCCGCTCAGCCGGCGCACCGCCACCCTCAAATCTACCTCGGTCACTTCCGGAGCGGATTCACCGTCGTCGTCGTTGAAGCCCGCATTTGGCACCGCAGGGGGCGGAGACATAGTGGGAGGCGTGTAACCTATCTGTGGTCGGGGGAATAGCGCCCCAACCACTTCGTCCACGACCTCCGGCCGGAGACTCTGAGTCAGTGGGGGCGCCCAGGTGCGGAGCTTATCACGCACCATCCGGTAGGGGCGTCCCCACGGGTCTCTGTTCAGAGTCTCCAACATCTCCTCGCGGGCCCGTTCTTTGGCCCGCCGGATCTCCACCCTTAGGGTGGCCTTCGCCGCCCTGTACTCCTCGTACAGCTCCGCCTCTCTGGTTTCAGCGTCAACCTTTTTGTTACTGTGTCTGTGTGCACATGGTTTGTGTCAATAATTTTTTTTTTCTTTCTTTCTTTCAAAAAATATTGGCAAGTATTTGTTTTACATCATGGCTGTATTAGCTCATAAGTGCCCACTGATGAGCCTTTCCTAACACGGAGAATGTTTGAGCATTAACCACGCTTTCTCAAGGCGATTTCAAACTTATAATAAAAAATTTTAAGTCCAGATTTTCTCTCAATGTTTTCCTTCAGTTTGTATGTCCAACCTTCTCCGTGGTAAATTATGCTCCAACCTTCTCCGTGTGAGAAGAGGCCTTGCCTGGCCGACCTGGAGCAAGAGGTGGGACGGGGTTGGCTTTAAGTCAGTAAAAGACTGACACTCTCTCTCGCCTCATCCTGGCAAAGTATTTTAATCGTTTTCCCGCCCAAAAAATAAAAAAAAAACGTTTTATTGACATATGCACAAAAATTTTACACAATTATTTGAATGAATTTTTTAATGTAATATAACGTATACGGTAATTAGGTAATAGTAGTCATGTAATCAATTTTATTTAGAATAAGAAAAGACAGATTTATTTTTATTCATTACACAATAGCATTTTGAGTTCTTTTAATGTAGTTTACTTTATTTTAAAACAAAGATGACTACTCCATATAACATCTACGTAGTATGAGATATGATGATGATAAAAAACCTAGATGTTTGTTGTTCTTAATACTAATAACACAAATTATCATTCATCCTACAGAATGGTTAATTGAAATTGATTAAGCTTAGTCTAAGGTCGTAAGGAACATAATAATGGGGAAGGCTTCTGTTCAGTAGTGGACATTTGTTGCCTAATGATGATGACAATTTTATTGATATTGTACTGTAAAAACTGACTTCCTAAGTACATATACTTTTATTAAATTATACTCCGTAATAGGTATTCTGAGCTATTTGACTGTTGAGTTCCAAAAAATACTGAGTCATGAATTTGTAACCAGTAAAAACAAACTGAACCAAATATTGTGATAGCTCGGTGGTTAAAACGTAGCTTCTTCAGCATAGTGGCAGATTCAAACCCTTACAAGGTACAATGCGAGTTTATGAAAATTATATGGACTTTATGAAGATTATTTTTGGGCATCATTGTCGGTCAATCAAGCAGCATATCAAGAGGAAAACTGGTACCTAATTTAACATTATCAATCGCACGTTGACTGCACGATTGGCGCGGTGGCTGGGCAACTGGCTGCCGTGCAACGTGTCGCGGGTTCGATTCCCGCACGGAACAACACTTTGTGAGATCTACAAATTGTTGTTTCGGGAGTAGGTACGTTGCTGAATCGTAGCTGTTGATAAATCACTTGAAACAGATTAGTCATAGTTGCATGTAAATTTAACATTTGTTAATCGTAGTTGTGGTTAGCTCTTAAATAATGAGTCAATACTGTACAATCATACTCCTTGGTAGCTTGGCAGTCGCACGTACCACAGCAGAGCTAAAAGAATCCAGTTTAATTACTCTAGATTCAAATACAATGTGTACAAATACAAAGTGTGGGTGAGCTATGCTTCGGCACGAATGGGCCAGCGGCACAGCCTTATAGAAAACCAGCGTGAAGAATACTAGAATAGAACTACTTACGTTTGTATTTCGCCGTGTGAGTTACGTTAAGGGAGGAGTAAATCATTTAATACTACGAGTGTCCATGGACGTTGCTGATTGCTTACTAATAAAGGAATCGAGGGGATCCGTTTTCACTTACAATTTAAAAAGAAAAAAATCAAAATTATTAGATTTTCTTATTTTTAAAACGTGTTATTCACAAAAATCACCGTTCTTTCTTGTAAAAAAATTCAGTGTATCAGTAATTTCTTGCTTATACTGTACTTACAGGAGTTGTTCACGTTCTCAAATTTTCTATACGGGTTCTTATGATCTTGTATACAAATATAGATTGTTCACCTAACCAAAACTAGATACAACAAATTGTAAGTCAGACCAAAAAACATGCGAAATTAAACAAGCAAGTCCTTCATCAGTCACTAATAAATCCGCTGGACATGAAGTTTTAAACTTTATTCGAATGGTCTATACGTCATTTTCAAATGAATTCTCAGGTTCGGGATAATGTTGTGTTGTGACGTCATATCTTTTGCGACACTAGTCTATATAAAAATATATACACTAGTCTAAATAAATTTACCAAAAAACCAATGATTGTTTTATCATTTTTAATATTACATTATTGTTTGTTGTGAAATGTTTTGTTTTGACCAAACCAAACCACGAAGTAAGAACAAAAACTTAGTTAGTTATTATGTTTTCGGCTTACTCTCGTAATAATTTGACGAGATACTCGACTAATTTCAAGCCATGCTAGAGGCCCATATTCATGAGCAGACACGCAACGCGACGACTGTCGCGATGCTACAGTAGCAGCGCGACAGTCGCCGTATCACCGTAGTCTCACGGAAGTTATAATAAAAACTCAGTTGTGAGATAACAATGACAACTAAGATAAAAAGTAAATCTACTAAACTGACTATTCGTTTATGTATGTCTTGTTTACAATAATCCCAATTTTCAGAATGGTCAATTTTTATTATTTTGTAATGTAGCTAAGATAAATAAATGGTACTATTTTCCTTGAATTTATAAAGTGTTATTTTTTCCTTTTAGGTACAAATGTGTATTTTGAAATATATTTATCGAGAATAATCGTTTTTTAAAGTAAGGGCTGGTTCATAATTGTGTTCCTAAAGATGTCTTTTATTATTTTAAGCGCTATTTCTGTAATAATACCTACTTACATTTAAATTATTAAATTTAATGTTTTACATATATCGTGTACTATATTGTATTAATTATGTTGTAACTTACTTAAATAACTTTTCGACGAGTTAACTTGAACAGTTTCAAGCCATGGACTCATGATTAACAGTTTATTAGCAGCAGTGAGAATCACGAAAGCTGTTAATTTTAACACGAAAAGAGTTAACTGAGTATATCCCATGGGTCAGAGACATACACCTCAGAAGAATCGGAAATAAATTTTTCAAGTCACGTAAAGAAAATATAGTTTACGTTGGTGAATTAAAACAGAGCTAGCTAATATAGCAAAGAAGCCTCAGCTTCTGCATGAATCGCACCAAATACAATTAGTCAAAATCATGGTTTACAAAACAAAAATATAATTCTACTGGTGTCGAGCGTACGGCGCGTAGCGTTCCGCGCGCGCCTCAAAGAGCCAATAGACCACCACAGACGGGGCCCTATATGGCTGATGTTCAGCCGGGGTTGCGGGGTAAGCGCAATGAGGCACCGCGACCTCGGCCCAGAGCAGGAGAATGAACAGGGGAGTTTTTAGTCAGTAAGAGTCTGGCACTCCCTCTCGCCCAGCTCTGGGCGGGAGAAGTCATTCAATGATTTTCCCCTCACAAAAAAAAACGGTATAATCAAATATTGGTCAATTATAAATAAACAAAACGATATTTCAACCAAGTCTTAACATTATTATACGAATTCAATAATAAAGAACAAAAGAGTATACCAAGAATATAACGCGTATGAGTAATTTACTCTTTGACTTAAGATAACAATGGTATTTAAAAACATAATGTTTATATTAATTGCACTTTTTTCGCCAACCAGTCTTCTTTACCCCGCTGTCCCGGACAATCGTGGAATAAAATGTATAAAATTATTATTTTGTGCTCTATTTTTATTGCTGTAAGTGTCAAAACTGTTTATTTACTAGATTTGTTTTGTTTAAGAGCTATCTAATAGTGATTTATTTATAGTTGTTTTTATTTAAATAAATAACGTTTTCATCTTTAGTTCGAACATGTGTTTAGTGTAAAATAAAATTAATTTTATTCGATATTTAAATTCTAAATTAAATTAGGCTATTTTAGATCTGATTTATTTTAATGTTTGATGTTGTTGGTGTACTTAAAAAAATGTTTTAAATTTTATTTTGAGATTATTTTTTAAAAAGATACTATTAGCGCGATTTGTGATAGTTTTTTTTTAAGGTATAGTTTTGCAAACTAGCATTCAGGTCATAAGATGGTAAGCAATCGGCACCACCTGCAATGCTAAGTGGGTAATAAGTGCGTTACTAATTAATTTTTGTTAGGGATTTGAGGATTAGGGTTTTGGAGAATGGGGTAAGGAGGACGGGTTGGGCCGTAACGAAATGGAACCTTAGTTAATGTGACTTTGTCGAAATCTATCGTGAATTCTCACGTTAACAGTTTTTTTTTTATATAAAACGATAGTATTATAAAAAGTTTTTTTTTAGGCATCGAATGCAGATGTCGTTGAGACCCCAACCAAAAGAGAAATTAAAGCTTCTCTGGTAAGTTCAAGATTTAATATACCTACCTACCTACTAATGTTGTATTAAGATAGAAAGGCTATGATAAAAACTAATTAGTTCAGTAAATTATTTAAATTAAATAAGACATGAATGTTTATGTATCTTGGAGTATAGGAAAACAAGACTTAAACAAAACGAATTAAGTCTAGAAGTGTAAAGTTGATACGCCACTTTACAGTATAATTTCCAAAGTAATGACATCACATGATATTTGAAATCAATGTACAGCAAAAATATTTGATTTCGTAAGAAAAAAAAGTGTCTCTTAAGTTGTCGATTTCGACGCTTCATTGTCGCTTGAAACTAATTTACCTTTTTTTTTCAGTAAATTTACGTGAGTCGTTATTTTCAAAATACATTTTTAGTATTACTCACGATAGTGACTATTCCAAAACATATTATTTCCAGAACTGCAAGTTAACCCAAATATAGGGTAAAAAGGTTGGATAGAGAAAAGCGTGTTGAAAACTCACCCATTATTGTTTAATTACAGAAACCATTATCCGTATGCTGCGATATTCCAGAGTTGGCTGATGACAGGCAATTAGTGAAATGTTCCAACCCTAAACCGCCTGGACCGGTAAGATTAACAAAAAATAACGTTGTTACTTAAACTAGAATTTTCTCTTATGTCGTGGGTGCCTTTATACATATACGATTTAGATATATCACACCCGGATCAGACGAAGAGTTGTTTCGCCTGAGTACCCAAACACTGCTGTCTGTCCATATGTTTATCTGTCTGTTTGTTACCAAGCTATAATATTATAATATACCTTATAAACCGTGATGCTTTTTTTGAGGGATACAATCTTCATATGACTTCGCTCGCCAAGGAAGTGTCACACTCTCGCTGGCTAAAAAATATAAAATCACCCCGTTCCTTCCTAAGCTGGGACCGCGAGACCTTATGGACTGTGGATTAACTTATTTAGGGCTCTGTGGATTAAGGAATTGAAACACGCATGCACACACATACACACACACGCACGCACACACATAGACACGTCGGTGGACAAGCGCGATGAATCCGGTCGACAAAAAAATGGGGTATAATATATAAAGCTTGCAAATGCATCTACAACGCAATCAAAAACCCTAATATTAAAAAAAAACTTAAAGTTATATAATATTTATTATTATTTATTTTCAGTGTGAAGACGTTCAATGTATTTTCGAAGTATCAGGCTTTTTGACAGACAAGAACACATTGAACAAGGCCGCATACAGAAGCCATTTGCAGAAATGGGAGAAGAATCATCCAGGCTGGACTGATGCCATCTATAAGGCCATCACAGACTGTGTGGATAATGATCCTAGGCAGCACCTCGACGTTGCTTGTAAAGGTTATGACGTATTTACTTGCACTGGCATCGCTATGTTGAAGGTATGATTTGGATTGCACACTATAGATTTCTGATTTTTCTTTTTTTGAACCGGTTAATCATTTAATGCCTTTTCCCGTAATGTTGATCTAAAACGATTTAAGTACTTTGTAAATCTATCGGTGTTGTTATAAATAAATAGATTTTTTCACCTTTCTTTCTGGGTGAGCGAGCACTAATCTCGAGCGTCTAGTCTAAATTATTTTTTTAATTCTGAGTAATGCTCCTATCTTTAAATATGGCATATTTTAAATTAAAGAAAATGTCTAAATTGTATATTTTTTGTTTACAGAAATGCCCTGAAGCAGCGTGGAAGTGTTAGGACTGACACTATTTAAAATTGATTGCTCATCTTTTGCTTATAATATTAAAATATTTCTGCTTTTTCTCATTTCATATAAATTTAACCATGTAATATACACAAACCTCCTTAAATTGTTTTATTATATCTATTCTAACTTATTTTATTTATTAATAGCTACTCTCACGCGGATTCACCCGCTGCTCGCTCGCTCGTTTCAATCGTAGCGTGATGTTTTATAGCCTATAGCACTCAGGAACATTGTAGCTATCTATCAGTGAAAGAATTTTGGAAATCCGACCAGCGGTTCTAAAGATTACCCCCTACATACAAACTTACAAGTTTTACCTCTTTATACTAGTATAGATGGACTAATATTAGTATAGATTGACTGGCTTTTGCCGGATGTTTCGCTCCTGTACTACTATAGTCTATCTTACTCTGCTCTACTCTTCGGTATTCTATTTTATTCTTCTCAACTCTGTATATATGTATATGCTACCCAAATACCTTCTCTATCTTTCCTATAACAATTACAAATAGGTACAACAAAAAAAGACCTAACATAATCGGTTCAGCCGTTTTCAAGTTTGGCGCGTAGAATCACATTTAGTGATTCACTTTTATTTTCATTTTTATTTTAAATGTAGATTAGAGATTTCGTGTCTCTTCACAAATTTTACTAATTTAGCATTTTGGTACTAAATCCTTTTTTTAAAACATAGAGAATGTATGCCTAATTTAGATATACTGGATTGAAACTGGCTGATTTAAGCAAAGCATTTATAAAATATTTGTCACACGAGCGGACTTCGTATGGTTAAGAAATTTTCATAAAATATTACCAATATTGAAATTGAAATTGTTATAAACTGAAAACGAAAGTAAATAAAAACTAGACTACTTATAAGGCTACAAGATTGGTGAAACAATAAAATCTTTCTTGGAAACTACTTTTACCTACCACGTATCTTCCAAGTGCGTCAATTAACTGTATCCGATAAATAATTGTTTCTTTGACATTTAGATAACCATAAAATGTATTATTACTATGTTTGTTTACTGATACGATTTTATTGAGGTCTGGGTGAGTGCTATTAACATATCATTTGCAATAAATCTTTATGTATAAAAATGGATCGCAAAATGTGTTGGTAAGCGCATAACTCGACAACGCCTGGACCAATTTTGCTAATTCTTTTTTTGTTGTGTTTGGTATTGTCAGGAGAATCTAAGGAAATATTAGAAAAGTAGAGGCAGAGATTCGGAAAAAGTGACACGGTGATAGCGAGATAGTTGAGTTTAACATATGAGAAAATGTCATTTTCTCATATTTTAAGTAAATGTAGGTATTTTGTGATAATTGCAAGACTATAAGAAACTTAAGCGCCTAAGTATAAAGATACTCAAGCACTTACAAATTAAAAATGGACGTTAAATCCACACGCATCTTCACTTATCTTTCCACCACCAAAGACGGGAACCGCTTTGCGGGTAACCCGGGCTGATGTTCAGCCGGGGTTGCGGAGTAAGCGCAATTTCGGCCCAGAGCAGGAGAGGGAACGGTTAGGTTTTTAGTCAGTAAGAGTCTGACAAAAATATAAATGATGATTTTCCCTGCTCAAAAAAGTAGTCTCGGAATGGAAAAGTAGTCTGAATACTTATATTATTCCATAGAAACAATTAAGCGAGGAAAATCACGTTATCACGTCATACCACCTATGTAAGGCGAGAAAGAGTTTCGGACAAAAACTGACTAAAAACTTACCATATTCCGTCTCTTGTTCTAATTTAACTGAGGTACAAAATTGTACCTGAATCCTCAATGCTATTCTTAACACTTTGTTGGCTAAAGACTAACACCAAGTCCGCCGCTGATGCCAGATGGATGCAAGAATTTCCTTCAACGATTCTCCATCAGCAGTTGAAGTATATCGAGACGTTGCCGCAACTCGTTAATTTAGCGATTGCTATAAATATCAGTACAGGCACTATATGAAGATCATTATTATCCCTGTCTACATTTTCATATAAATTCAGAGTATAAAATAAAGTCGCTTTCCATATCCCTATATCCATGTGTATGCTTAAATCTTTAAAACTACGCAATGGATTTAGATGCGGTCAGATCTTTTAATAGACAGTGATATAAGGAGAAGTTTTATCCGTATATTGACATCCATTAAATAGTCGAAAAATTTAGTACCAGCAATTCACTCGTGAGAAGTAGTTTTCATAAAACACTCTACAATTATTGTGTTATAATTCAATTGTGTTATAAAGGAAACATAAAATGACTGCACAGTTGGTGCGGTGGCTGAGCAACTGGCTGCTGTGTAACGTGTCGCGGGTTTGATTCCCGCACGGAACAACTCTTTGTGTGATCCACAAATTGTTGTTCCGGGTCTGGGTGTCATGTGTATGTGAAATTGTATGTTTGTAACCGCACCCACGACACAGGACAAAATCATAGCGTGAGACAAAAACAATTTAAAAAATAAATTATAATAAAAAAAAATGAAACGAACATATGGTCCAAGGCTCCTTAAAAATGAGTTCGGAAAGTGTTTGAACGTCAATTCGATAAAACAAACAGACCGTACTTAGGTTGTAGTCATCTGAAAGTGCTCTGAGAGACTTGTCGGAAGATTGTCATGTATGTACACTGTACACAGCAGTGACGTGTTTGAAAGGTCAAATGTTATAGGGGAACCAATGAAGTAAAATTTATTTTAGTATTACGTTGTTAGAGCGTTTAATAGAATAACAACAGAACACATCCATCTTATAATTAATAGGAATCCATGTAACGCCACGCGTGGACACTTGCAACACCAGACAAGTTGCTGATGTGTTCTTTTTTTCTGAGGGTAAAACCTTCCCACTCCGGGAGATGGCCAGAAGCATTCTCACACTTTTATTGGCTAATAACCAGCCCCTTCTTTTGTTTGGTTTTTGCGAAAACATCGACCCTGTTGGGCCCAATCTGAGAGTCTTGTGGGAGTGTTAAACTTGTTATAACCGCTCTAACATGATGGTTTACGGAGATAGAGCAATAGGGTATTTACTTAAAACGATGTTAGCAAATGAACAAAATACAAATCATCATTGTATGTATTTCACAAAAAGATATGCCAAGACTGTTTACCTTTAGTAATCCACCTAAACCGATAGACCTTTGTCGATTTGTAGTTTTCGTATGGGAATTCAATGTAGGCAATTTTTACCAGTCGAGCGATCTGTGAAGCAAGGAAACATTTGTGCTTATTATTAAATTTAGTTTTTACATCCAAAATAATTGCCACAAAGTTTATAGCACAATAATGGTCAACAACAAAAAAGTTTATAACTGAAAGTAGTTCGAATAATGGAAATCAACATAACTGCAAAAATAACATTTATTTATACCGTAACATAAAAAGAGCATGTCCTAAACTGGCCAATTATTTTAAATAAATAAACACTAACTTAGAACCATAAATTAATTAAAACAACATCTGCTTTGGATTGTTCATGCGGTGAAAGATAAAATGAATAGTTTTAAAATAGATTTCAATGTTAGAATTTACACATTTTGTTTGCACTTTTAGTGAGCATGACTACTTAGCTGTTATTTTGGATATATTCTTTAAAACAAACGTGAAAAATAAAGAAATAAAATGACATAATATGTATGCTAGGCAGGTTATGTCGAGATCAAAATGTCTTCGGTAATCGTCTTCCCGAATAAATATCTTGATCGTCTCTCGATGAAAGATTCAATGATTTGCAAACAAATTATAACCACTGTGTGGCTGTACGATTTTATAAGATTAGGCGCCAATGATCTTGAAGATGAAATTTTGATTAGAATCGATCTTTCACCAAAATAACCAATTTCAGAGTTAGTTTTAACGTAAAAAATCCTTTTATCAAACATAAATAATTAATTGTAGACAAAAAAACAAAGTTTCTTTTTAAAATTTGTGTTAAAACCGTTATATGAATTAACTGACATGTGAATATTATCTTCATCAACAAAGTTTGAAATGGCAAAATTACTATATGAATAAACTATTTAAAGGAAGGTAAAACCAATAAAATAAAGTCTAAATATAACAGAACACTATAACAATATATAATAACAATAACAAAGTGATCAGTACACATGCGACGTGAGATGTCAATACATCAATTAATTTCAACAGCATGCAATGTATAGGCACCATGTGACAGGATAATTATCAATTTGATCATACTCTTCCTTATGATTCGTGGCGCGTACAAGTATAAAAGGATGGCACTATTACTATCGTCATTATAACACCATGCTTTGTTAAGACGCAAGATTGTTACACAGACTTTTCTTTAACATAACATAAGATTCAATCCTTTTGGCTAATGAAACATAAACTAATCACATATGCAGGAAGCATATATGTGATGTAATAATCTTAGCTAATTATGTCAATTCAATGTCAATTCAATCTAAATATATCGACACACCATACTTTGTACTCTATTGCAACTTAAGCAAACAATAAAAAGGGAGGTCCAAGAACAGCTCCTTGTGGAACACTGATTGCGTTATCTCAAGTTCTTTAACAATACGTTAATGTGAGTGCATAACAGAGTATTATCCGTTGGTTCATTGTACCTGCGTAATAATACGTCGTCTACAACAATCAAGGTCTAGAGACTACTTGACACTGATTCACTCACCGTGATCATAGGCCTCCTTGAGGACATCCGACATACTTCCACGGCTATTGTTGTTATTATGTCCGACTTAATGGTAATTAGCTGTCGATTCTGTATGAGTAATTGGCTTTCGGTTGTCACAATACTGTTTTAACGGTTTGGGTTGTATAAAGTTTTATTGACATTTCAATATTTCTTAATTATCAGAGTACTAATTGTTGGATATACATATATTATATTATATGATCTTACTTACTTATTCTAATGGAAGCGTTAAAGAAAAGTCGAAGTTTTACTGACTCTGACCATGAAACTGCACCTAAAACCTTGTGATCAGGCCAACAAGACAATCAAATACTGTTTTGGCTACTTATGAGTTATTATTATAAACGGTACTAAGTAGTTTATAAATAAACATTTAAGGACTTAATCGTAGTTTTTCTTAGCTATGATTTGTAAGTTCCTGATTGTAAATAATTAGAAACACAGGAACACGATATAGCCAAGATGTAACAGGTACATTGTTGATAAACAACATGAGTAATTCTGTATCTATAAAAAACTTGTACTAATTTGCAACTGCATAGATAAGGCTAGTAATATAATTACTGCTTGAACAATTCAAAGATGTAGATATAAGTAACACGATGAGATAAGGGCTACAATTAAAAAAAAGCCACAAGATGAGGTGTTATTATGTTATGTGAGTTGTATTTATAGAACCACGAAGATTATTTTTTATTCAATTTACTTACAAAGCCAGTAATTTAAATTACATTATATTTTGGACAGTATTTTTTTACCAATCATTTTTTTCAGGCAAGTATAGTCTCATTCTTAATAAAGTAAAATCTCAAATATATGAAATTATCGTGTTGCAGTTTTCGTTCCTCAAAGAAAAAGATTGACCGATTTTGATGAATATTTTTGTGCTTATCTATGAGAATCGGCCAACATCTATTTTTGATCCCCCTAAATAGAGGTACTCCACCCCTAATTTTTTAATTTTTTAGACAATATTTTAATTTCTTTTAGATACAACATACAAAAATACATACAATCCTCAATTTGCACCCTTCAACCATTAACCCTTATATGTATGGCAAAACAACGTTTGCCGGGTCAACTAGTAACAATATGAAATTATAGTGTTCTTTATTCATATAACAATCAAACGCCTACAATATTGGAAGATCTTTGATTAAGAAATTTAATTCGTCCCTTGAGTAAATTAGTAGAGATACTCCTACCGTAAGGAAAGATCTTGATTTACAGCGAGGAAATGTGGATCACGTTCAACTGGGCGTAATTATTGAACTTAATGACAATGCTAAGAGTGCTAATGGACCATCTACTGCAACTAAGTTGAATAAAAACTAAAGAATCGCATTTCTAAATGCAATAAAAACTGCCTTAAATGGTTTTACAATTAATAACGCTGTAATTTGACTGTTTGACATGTCTTTTTTTTGGTATCTGTGCTCAAAAACACCTAGTCCGTTTTAGGTGGAGGATTTAAATGATTAGGACATATTACATTATATAAGGGTACTTGAAATGTTTCACCAAAATATTTTTAAAGGAAAAGGTATAAGTTTTCGTTTTTATATAAATTTCGTTGACGCAGCTATTAATTCATTTCCCATGAGTTGTAAGCTGTGAATATGATACTATAGATATTTAAGGGACCATATTATTAATGGATGAAGCTTCTAATGCTTTTGTTATGGGAATATGGGAATTATCCAAATGCATTTTTGGAGCCATGTAATCTTTATACTGCGACCGATTTTCATTAAAAACTAAATGAGTAAATAAGGTACATATTAAATAGTCACAATATATACACTATCTCACTTCTTTCCAGATTTTTATTTGTTTCTAATAAGGGAAGTATAATAATATATTTATAAACCGATTTTACGAATTACACATTAACATCAAATGCAACACTAGCTAATTTCATATTGTAGAATAAAACCAAGATAAGCCAAATTAGCACCATCTCGTGGCAGAAATAAAACCTTTATTCTCCATTCCAGAGACCGACCTGAAATAAAACCTTACTATACCTGAGGTATACCCAAAAATTTTAGAGTAGGGTCTACTCTAAAATTTTCTTCAAGACACTGATAACAGTTTGCTACCATTTTTTTTTTGTTTATACTTCTCAAAAAGTCAAAAATCATTTATTCCAATTAGACCCTTACAGGCACTTTTGAACGTCAAACAAAATTTTAAAGTTATAGTGTCAGTTTGTCGGTCAGTCCTCTTAGTGAAGCTATTTGCTCGTTCCAAAGTGTAGATTCCGATGGAGAAGAACGAGCAACTGCATGGTTACTGTTTTTATATCAGATTCCTTTTACAAACAGTTGGTTCAATTATGTGAGAAGAGTGTAACACTAATATTTATTCAAATATAAAAAGAAAGTAACCTTAAGGACAATAGACAGTCTGGAGCTGACCAGTCCCAACTGACGGCGCCCGTTCACGTGCATGACACGTACACCAGCATCGCCCAACTCTACCATATTATTGGGAATTTAGCGATCCAGCGCCCGTGCCACCGCCAGTGTGACCTTTCAGTGAGCATGACAACTCCAAGCTGTTATAAGGACCGACATTCTCTTGTCCTAGTTGGGGCAAGAGGGACCCGCGACCTCGGCTATGCATTACCATACCAATAAATTATTTTTATATCCATTATCCTCTATAAAAAATGTGACACTCGTTAGTTCAGATCATACGATTAGTCATCAGGAAATAATAACAATGCAATAATAACTTTGTAGTTCAGTTTGTGTCATTATAGGAACACACTTTATACTTATAGAACTGCATATAACAATATAACATATTATTATATGTATTCCTATAATAATTTTCACACGTGATTGTATGTAACAATATAGAAATGACTTTGTTGTATTCAATTGTTTTTTTTTTTGCTGAAATAAGTAAAAGAATTTTCTCATACTATCAATGATTGTGATTAAATCAACTAGAGATACCTTCACTTGATTTTTAGTACTGTAGATAGGTACTAGGTAATTCATTCATTCATTCATTCTTCTTGGAATGTCGCTATTTTAATATAAGGTAATGGAGAAAAAGAATGTATAGTTATATTCAGCAAAACTTCTTTTCGTAAAGCAAAATATCAACTCCATTTCATTGTGTACAATAAAACATAAGTAAATAAATAAATAAACTAGCATGTTAACCACAATGAATAAAAAACAGTAGACTCATGTAAATTTCTCAAAGTCCAAACAGAAAAAAATTAAGAAGATATAGGTAAGCGTAGATTTACATGTTTTTTTTTACTTACTGTCCACCAATTTGTTAATTGATCATAGAGCAAGTTTTATCAACAGAACTGACAGACAGGATCATCTCCAGCATTTGACAATCCATTGCTGTAATGCTGCTACAAAAGCGGGCTTTGACGTTATTTGTGCGATTGGCAAGCACGTTGAAGATCTTAATTTAAAATATACCTAAGGCCTCGTATACGTTTAAGCGGCGCGTTGTGCGGTGCGATGTGTGGTTAGTCATACATTGCTCGTGATGTTCATATGTTTGTGTTTGCACGGCCGTTGACACGATTTGATGCTGTAATGTACGACAAACTAAATACGCGCCGCGCAAGCCCTGCGTGTACGTAAACGAGACCTAAGTGATTACACTTTAGCCATACTCGGATCACTTTAAAAGTTTTAATTATACACAAAATATGCCCCTTTAGTTTCATCTAAAAACTATATAAATATTGACTATTTACAAAGATTTTTATCATAACACCATCAGCTTAATAAGTGTCTACTGCTGAACTCATATATCATAAAAAAATTAGATCATTAATTGCCACTCTTGCTAAGGCTAGAATCACGTCTTTCAAACTTATGATTATAAATTTTAAGTCCAGATTTTATTCCTTTCTTTCTTCATTCCTTTCCTACGTGCTTGCTTGTGGTATTAGTAAAAATAACTCGGAAGAAGTCACATTGCTACATACAGCGCGCAAATTAACCAACTTCATTGACAATAAAGACTTGAAAATGTATGGATACCACGAAAACCATAATCATTTCCAATAATCTTAATAATTAAATGTTTCTTCGGTAAGAATACAAATAATCTTTGTTTAGAGGTTGTTGTTTACAAGTTTCAAATGACGAAAAATAATGAAAGAAGGGTTACAAAACCTCCCTAATTACCACAATAATCACGATATTAACTTAAGCACTATTTCGTCACTTCCCACTCAAAAAATTATATAGGTAGAAAACAATCGCATCTTGTCATGTCTGCAAAACTATGGACTCAAAGTACCTACTCTATACCAATACCTTGGTAGTTTCCCGTGCTTACAATGGTCATGGCCGGCAATCACTTGGTATAAAACATGGTAATAGCTACGTCATGCGATCACTTCACCCCAACACATCAACATGATAACATCATCAAGTATATTAGTACTAGCTGCTCTGGTCCAGGTGAGAATAAATCAATATTATTAATACGAAACAAAAAAAGAACTTGTAATGTAATGTGATGCCAAAACAAATAACTGATCCAAGTTCAAATTCTCGGAATCAATAATTATTTTTTTATGTAATGATTTTTGACAAATGACATGCCTATGTGAAATGTAATGACATATTTAATATATTTAAAAAATCGAATCGCTAATTTATTAATTGAAGCTATTAAAGAAATAACAAAAGTAAGATAATAACTAAAAAGTTTAAAAAAAAAAATCATAAGTCAAGATGACTAAGGGATATATTTCTCTGGATAGATAAAAGTTATCTGGGGAATAATTATGATGCGTCAGAATGTTTGTTTAAGACAGCAACATTGAAGATTGTTTTATTCCTCAAAAAACATTTATCTGACTATTGAAAAATCAGCCCATAAGAAACATAATAATTGCTTATATTGAAGATGTTTTGGATTGTTTGATTATTCTTATATAATGATATTCTCTAATTACCCATCTTTTGCAGATTGTTTATATTAACTTTGTGTACATTTTAAAACATTTTTACAGGTGTTATTCGCTCAACAGCCTGACTTCCAGTCTGGACCTCCAGGGCCACCGGGTCCTCATCACAAAGGCCCGCCACCGGGCGCATTTCCACCAGGAATACCAAAAAGCTGCTGGGTTCCTCCACGTGAGGTATCTTTTCCTTTTATGATGGCAGATGGATCCTTTTTAGCTTTAGTCTTCTCTCCACGGTAGTCAGAGCCAACTACAGCTACAACTAATAATATGGACAAGACAGCAGTACTTTTTGATAAACCAGAAACTTTGAAACTGCGATGTCTAACTTGGCACATTGGCCTCATGTGTTCTTCTTTGAGTGAGAGAGAGTTAAGTGAGAGCCATAGTCCAACAGCATATTTGATTGACATGAGTAATGAAACAAGAATATACCACAATAACCAAGAGTTTATGACGCTTCTCAAGCATGAAAATTTGGGTTAAAGACTTGATAAAAGTGATGTAAAATTTTATAAGAATAAAATTTATCTTCTTCTTCTTATAATTCTTATAGAATCATATTTTTTACAATTTATTGTAAAAAATATGATTCTTATAAAATTTTATATGATAACAATATCTATTATTACAGGTGAATTTGTTCAAATGCTGCCCAATACCCCCACTGTATTCAGATGAAGTAATGCAGAGCTGTGGTTTCGAAAAACCCTCCGAGGATGGCCCCAAGCCACCAAAAAGACATAGACGTCCAGATGTAAGTTATACATACGCCATTTTCTACAAAGGTTTTTAAAATGAAATTTGCAATTTGGTGAGATTTCTGGGCTACCAACTACCGCACATGTCGTGGGTTGGATTCTCGCACGAAAAACGATATACATAGATACTTATTCATCCATAGATGGTTGCTTCGAATCTGTCTCCAATTGTGTTTTTCGAAATCGGGGAAGGTCATTAAATGACTCCTCTCGCCCAGGATGAGGCCAGAGCAAATATTCGACTCTAACTGACGAAAACGACCCCGTTCCCTAATTGCGCTTGCCCCGAAATTGTAATGCAGAAATGTGTTTACTAACTTCTTTCAAAACCTTTTACAGGGTACATGCAAAGAAGGATATTGTGTAATGGGTAATGCTGATCTACTTCAAACAAATAACAGCGTAGATTACGAGAAATTCAGATCGTATTTGGATAATTGGGCGGCATCGAACCCAGATTTTGCTGAAGCCATACAAATTGCTAAAGAAGACTGTGCCCAAGACGGTGGACCTGCAGGACCTCCAGTGTGCGAACCAGACAGGCTATTCTTTTGTCTGACCTCAAAAATATTTTGGGTAAGCTTTGCCTGTTATTATTTTTTTTTTGTTATGTTATAGATAGGGAAATCAATTATTTTATATTCTGTGAATAGTTGCTAAACTGGTGAACTAAAAAAACAAACATTGTTTGACCCTGTTGTTTTTGTCAGCATCATTTTTAAACCAAAATTTGATTGGAATAAGACTACGTCCAGCAGTGGACAGAATCAGATTGATGATGATGATGATGATGATGATGATGATAGTGATAAATAACTCTATATATTGTCCGTCTGTGTGCACACATACGGTGCTTGCCCGCAGTTAAAAATAATCCCATTCGGATTTATTTTTTCTATTTGTTTTTCACGGTGATCTTATCGCCTAGAGGTAATTAAGGCTCTCATGATCAAATATTAACATTTTTTTTTTTTCAGAATTGCAAACTTCGCGATGAGGATGGTTGCCAGGCATTGCAACAACACATGGACGAATGCAGACAGTACTACACGAAACCAAAAGAGCAAATAGAGGGAAATGCGGAACGCCGTTAAAATGATTTTTTTCGGCCGGTAGTCGCAATGTAAAATACATAATATTATATTAGAGATATACATATAATTGTAAATATAATATACAACATTTTGCAAATAAACAAGTATTTTTGTTTACTAGTAGTTATAAAAATAATTGAAAGAAAACAATAAATAATGACGACCAAAAATTTTTTATAAATTGAGTAACAAATGATGTCAAATACCTAACACACGTTATTTTATGACAATTATAGGTGCAATAAGCATATGAAATAAAAAAAGCCATCAGAACTTTGGCTATTACACGTTTTGAAAAACTCGTCCAAATAGGGATACGTCGTCTCTGCTTTTTTAGGTATCAGGACGGCAAACCAACAGATGGATTACCTGATGATAAACAATCTGCACTGCCCATGGGCACTCGCAACAACAGAGAGGCTACGTGTGCGTTGCCGACCTTTTGGGTATTTCTACCAGAAATCCTCACTCACACGGCGAATCACAACACTGTGGTTGTTTCACGCCGGTTTTCTTTGAGGCCATGGTATCAATCCGGTTGAGCCGACCGATTCGTGATAAAGCACAACTCTCCCACACTTTCTTGCTTCGTTGGTACTGTTACTACCTACCTGTACTGTAAATAAGTGGTCTGGTTTTGAGAGCCACGGACACATCCAGTGTGGACTCTAGTCCCCAGTAACCTCAGGGAAAAGATATATTATATACGTAGGCTGTGGGAACTTGCCCTAATTTGCACCGTGAGGTCTCACCAGTAGGTCTTTTTAAGTACCCGGATCCACATACGTGGCAATTGTGGCCATTAGGGTAGTTTTATTAAGGTGAGAATACCATACTCTTTCACCTTTCACCCGGAAAACATTGGTGCCTACCTTTTCGCCGTGACTAGTACTACAAATATACTATAAGTATATTGTTGTGAAATCCCATCTTTTGCAACGATGTCCTTCTAACTTTTGGATAAAAATAATAAAAACTAAAACTGCTCTGGGTGGAATTGCAAGCGCAATTTATAAATAGATGTCATACGTTTATAACTATAAATAGAAATAATTTAATATTACCTATATTTTATTCATTCAAAGGAAATTTTCAAATAAGAAAGACAATCACTAAAAACGCATTAAGAGTGGAAACGATCTAAACGAAAATCAATTTTACGGCTTACGTTTCAAAAATGAAAATTGCGTAATCGCTGAAACAATTCACTACACATTTAGGGATGTGCGTAGTACGGTGGAAAATGTTAAGAGGAATTTCCTTCCTTTAACAATGATCTTAATCGTCTTGTTGACAAACGTCATTGTAAATCAGTTGCAACATAAAAGCAAGCAGTTAACGTAACTTCATATCAGTATAATTTTCACCATCATGAAGCGATCATTGTGTGCTTTAGTGGTGGTATCAGCTGTGTTAAAGGTGAGTCGGAAAAATGTCACGATGTATTTGAAAAATAAATAATTTTGTCTTTTCATTACAATGATTATTAATTATATTATCATATTTTCAATCATTAATTTGACGATAACTTTTTAAAATAAGTATGCTTTTTGACATACAAGTCAAAAATAATCTATTTGCACTTTTCAATACAATAAATTATTATAGTATAGGTAATCACACTTTCATTCACTGATTTGTCTATTTTATATTTTAATGAAAAATTGATTTTTTTCTAGTTAACTTTTAAAAAGTTAACGTATGCTGTTTGACATAACACTTTAAAACGTGTTGTTTTGATCACATAATGATTGGATTTGAATAGTTAGGAACCGATTTTCTCTTAGAAGTTAGTCAGAAACATAAACCAAACACTATTTTCACCTCTAACTAAACCAAATACCAAATGTTGGATGAGGATACAAATTTTATTTTTATATTTTATGTAATTTGCAGCTTGCATCTGGTTACTATGAAGAACCATCTTACACACGCGATAAACGTTCACCTCCCCGAGAAGGGAAAGACCTTGGAATATTTCATCCATATCAAGACCTAATACCAAGACATTGCTGGTCTCGACCGAAAAACGTAACTAATTTTCTCTTTTTAAATGTTTTATGTAATAGGTCGGCAAACGAGGAGACGGATTACCTGATGGTAAGCAATCAGCGCCGCCCATGGAGGGTGCCCAACGGAGAAGTTACGAGTGCGTTGCCGACCTTTATGGATTGAGGAGGGATTGGGGAAGGGGAAGGACTAGTCTTCTGGTAACCTCACTTACACGGCGAAACACAACGCTGTGTTCGCGCTGAAGCATGGCTTTCCCACGCGTAAAATCCACTGGCAATTTTTTTATCGACTACCATTAAGATCATAAGTTCAGCTTGACGTAATTTAGTTTTATGGTACTTACTCACATCATTTTAATTTTACAATCATTTCAACAATGATCAGGAACAATTTGAAGCATGGTGTTGAGAATTTGCGAAAATCAAAAACTAGAAACAAGATGTGAAACTGATTGAATGATTACGGGCTTCTGGCGCAGTTTTAGACCTAAACATCGTCATAATACCATGAAATTAAAAGAAGTAAAAAATTCCAAAATTAATTTTATGCTCGTTTTAATATTCCAGGTAGACATGTATAAATGTTGTCCAATACCCCAATTGTATTCTGACGAAGTTTTAGACATTTGTGGCATTGAGAAAATAAAAGAAGATGAAGAATCTCCGACTAAACGAAGTCCAACGAAGGTAATGTTCCGACTAACATCAACATAACGATTATAATACAGTTTGTATGGACAGGTGTTTCTCATGTAAAAAAAACTGAATGGATTTCCGATAAAAATTGATTCAGTGGCAGATTAATATGTTAGTCTGTAATCCTGATTTTTCATTCGATTAATGGAGGTGAAGCTAGTTTTTCGTTTTGCAATAATATTCTCGCAGTTTAAAACTGACGTGAACCTAAAACAACCAGCTTAGCTTTCGAAGAAATTCTCAAATATATGATATAGGTGCTATTTTTTAGACTAATTCTCTGATTATTTCCCTTTAAAATTTTCTTTCATTAGGTTGGTTGGCACAAATATTATCACTTAAAATACGATTAGCACAATGGCAGAATAGTCAGAGAACGAATCCACTATCATTAGTAATTCAATTTTTTGTTACCAGCTCGCGTGCAAGGATGGGATGTGTTTGATGAAAGAATCAAACCTGCTAGATAAAGATGATCGAGTTGATTACGAAAAATTGAGGGCTTATCTCGACCAATGGGCTGAAGAACACCCAAATTTCACTGAAGCTATTTTGGAAGCCAAAAAACAATGTGCCTACCCTGATGGTCAAGAAAAAGACAAAGCAGAATGTGAACCAGATCAAATATTCGTCTGCTTGACTGCATTTATAATTTGGGTAACTGTGTTTTTTATACTGCTGTATCTCCTGATGATCTTGATCATCTAATGGTAAACTATTGGCGGTGCCTGTGGAAACCTTCGACACCAAAATAATTACAAGCGTGATGTCTTTTAGTCACTTTTTGTTAGTGATTTTAGGGTTAGGTTTTTGGAGATAGGTGATGATCATTTGTTCGTTGGTTTACGCATACTTTTGATTTTTTTAATTTCTTATTTGATTTTTACCATCTTAAATGTGTAACGAGACTCAAGATTCTGAAATATTCGAATTACAAATTATGGCATTTGAATTGTAAGCAAAGGTGGGGCACCAAGAGTAAATCCTTGAACTCTAATTGCATTTTGTGGCAATGAAAAAAATATGGAAAGATTCGTAACAAAAAATCACAAACAAAATTTACAGTCTTAGGTTTAATTCAGCGGAAAGAAGTTATCTCCTTACTGTAATGTAATAAATTTGAATTTATTATTTCAGCACTGTAAATTCATAGACGAACCTGAATGCAAAGAACTACAGGCACATGTCGATGAATGCAGACCTTATTACCAGAAACCAAAGGAACAAGACAAAAAAATGGCTAAGAAAGGCAAGAAATTCAGGTCATAAAATCAAATACTACATTTACATTTTAACATAGTTTTGTAAAAAAATTAGTTGTTTTGAAAATTGTAAATGTAAAGCGTGTAAGTGTGGGAGGGCCATTCTCTAGCATGAAAATGCCGGTTCGACCGCAGTGACTTATCACGTATGGCACGGACTAACTCTGCTAGACCACGGTCTAGCAGGAAACCGGCTTGAAATAATTACAACATTGTATTGATCAACTCCCCATCCTTCGCCAATCCCAAAATCCCCAAATCACCTTATCCCCGTATCGGCAATGCATTTTCTAGCTAATCTGTTGCGGATATTCAAAAAATCCGCGTTGTTTGCTGGAACAAAATGAGCAATGTTTAATACATAAATAAAATGGTTGAATAAATGTTTTTTTCATTTATCTACATCTTTTATTTAAATAAGTTTTGTTAATGACTAAGTCTATAGTTTCTACTTATTGTAAAAATAAAAAAAAAACATAAGTAAGTATTTTATAAAAGACTTGCAAATATTGCATAACAACCTTTTCGATGCAATTAAACCACTTTTAGCACGGCGATGATTCCAAAAGGATCTATAAATTGAAATGAGCCTAATTATCTTGTATTCCTTCTGCGTCACCCAAGAACTACACGTAACAAGATAAAAAGAATTTGTGTGTCGAAGTCATTGTCCTTGCAATTTGTTTCATCTCAAAAGATTTAATTTTATTTAAGTTTTACCGAAACAAATCACCCTGTATGATCATAAAAACTTGTATTAACTATGTATTTTATTACAATGTGTGTAATAAGTATACATGCTTTTTTTGTGAGGAGAAAATCGTCAAATAAATTCTCCCGCCCAGGGCCAGGCGGGTGGGAGTGTCAGACTCTTACTGACTAAAAACCCCCCTGTTCCTTCTCCTTCTACTGAAAAAGTATTATACATAAGTAACACAATATTATATAAGTTTCATATTTGTCGGCTAGTTAAAAAGAGAGAGACAGCGGAATCGTCACAAATTTCAAAAGCTACGATCTTCTAACCACTTACCAATTTGCTTTTGCTCAGTACGCAACGACGTACCTCGGTTGAAGACGAAAACGATTAAATTGACTTAGATTACAACTACTATTTAAAGTGATATATTCGTATTACCACAGTACAGTAGAAGATATTGCAGATATTTCTAAATATTGTGATTTGAAATTGTCTGTCAACTACCAAGTAAGTCTATTTGAGTTATTTAATTTTCTAAACATTCTTCAATTACCAAAACATGTAATAAAAGCGGTTGTTACGACGCAAATTTATCATTCCTTCGATAGCTGTCTTTCCAAGTTATCAGGAGAGAATCTAGTAGTCAGTTTTATAAAACCACGACCTATTTTCTCCTATCCTAAGCTTTTTATTACTAAAGATGTTTTTTATACTTTTAGCTTTTTCGTTTGTTTATCATGTGAGTATTTTTATGGTTTTGGCGAATCTAACCTTTGCTTCACAAAAGAGTGGGTTTTAGGTGTTACCTTAATGTTATTTTTATATTATTCCAGGTATTTGGTCAACGATACGATGGTTTATTACCTCCTGTACCAGAAAAATGTTTTGGAACTACAGAAATGCATGTAAATATTCATTAAATAACTTCATAACGTAAAACAATTTAGAAAGTTTAACATACCGCCATCTAACGTTTCTACGCGGAACTACTGAAACGCAATCGCAAGAATGATTGCTCTGTGTTTCGTGTAGGAGCCGCAGTACGGCGTTTTATACTTTCTTTTTTTGCTTTTAAAATACAGTATAGGAACTGCTGCGTTTTCCCACCATTCTTTACTCGTGAGGTTGCTAAAGAGTGTGGAGGACAAATGGAAGTACTATTTGTTGACCAAAAGAACAACGTGACTGGCTACAGAAGAAAAGCCTTCGATGTGAGTTTCAATTACTGATTTAAAAAATAAATACCTAAATGAAGTAACTAGGAACTTGAGGTCCAAAATACCATTGAAGAGGTCGGTGAAAGACTAGGTCAGATGGTATCGGCGCTGCCCATGGACACTTATAATATTAAAAAGGTTAAAAGTGGGTTGTGTATTTTATTCTAAATGTAGCTCTTCAAATACTTCTTTGTTTATAAAAATTAAAATAGTTTAATGTTTAATGTTGGCTGTTTTCCAGTGTGAATATTGGAAATGTGTTCTCGACAAATATGGTCTTCTAACCCAATATGGCGATTTAGATGAGCAGAAATTCTATTCTCACCTGGATCTCTGGGTGTCACTAAATCCCATGTTTACTGACGCCATGACTGAAGCCAAAGCATTTTGTAAGGAAACCATAAGACCCTATCTACCTTTAAACGCCTGTGAATTTTTTCATCATCAAGGATGCTTCAGAAATTATTTGAATGTGGTGAGTATTGAATTATCAATAATGTAATATTTTTAAAGCCAGATTTTTTAATTTAGATAAACATGTATGAAAAAAAAACAAAAATGGAATGACTCACTTAAAATTTTCTCTCTCTCTCTCTCCTAGTATCTAATGTAATTTTATGTTTACCAGGACTGTCCAGTTGTTATACCTACTAAAGAATGTATTGCAAAAAAGGAATTCTACAGGGAATGCAGAGAATACTATCATAAGAGAAAATAATTGCAACCAAACTAATAAATAATAATAATTAATTAATATTGTTCTAGTTCCACAGTTTTATTTTCCTCATATAAGCTATATTATTTATTTTATTGCATTAGAGATTACTAAATAATAAAGATAAATAAAAGAATCCTAGGATTACTCGAAACATCGGATTTATTCTAATATTGAAACTAAAGAGAGTGAAATGACAATATTCCACGCTAGCTTACTTAATTACACTACTTAATTATTCGCTATTACAGTACAATTTATGCATACATTCAACATTAATTCATCATTAGCATTCCTTTATACACACATGATATGAGACAGAGTAACGTCCGTCCAGCCATACAATACACATTGTACCGTTTAACGAGCTTACTCTGCTGATACACTTATTAATACTGTCACGTAAATGCTCATAGAACAACTTTCATTATCACACGCACCAGTATTCCCTTATCACTTTCCTTTTAGGAATGTTATTTAAACTAAGCTAACAGTCTTTGTAACGCCTTCAAGGGAGAAGCCGAGGGTTGTACCTTCCAAAGTACAATATCATTCCCGATGGGTTGTGCCTCACGAAGTAGAGGAAGGGCCGATCGAATTTTAAGCGAGCTGGTAGTGCACTCCTCGATGGCAGACGAGCCTGTCTTGGTCTCAGATGCAGAGGTAAATGCATAGCATCACCGACATCATGAGGATCATGGAAAGCTCTCTGGTAGTCCCTTGGCTCATCCCAATCGTTCAACCACCTGGCACGTCGTCTCTGTGAAACACTTAATGTCTCAGGATACTCCTCAATGTGATGCTGTTCTCCTATACCACCTTCGCCGCAAGTAACAAATGTGTTCAACTGAACCATATCCGACAAATAAAGATCCTTCGAAGGTCCATTCAAGCCACCCAGATCAGCATGTTCTCCATCAAACAAGTCCTTTAGTCCCATCTTTTTCAAGCTCATTGAGACGTTGAATGTTGATTTGTGTGAGAATCTTGGGATTTGAAGTTCTAAGCCTGTGCGTGGAAGCAAAGTACGTAAGACTCGATTCCATGTAGGTGTAGTTGGAACGGCATCCAAAAGTCTCTGTTCTAGTTTTTCTAAATCATCGGCATGGACTACGTTTCCTTGCTGGCCAGGCATTAAGAATAGTGTGCTAATAACAGAGTTGGTATTTCCTAAAGCGGCTGCTGTTGCGTCGAGAGCTGGATCATAACCAGCCAAAAATCCACTCTTGTAAACTACGGCTGGCACTGGAACGAGGCGACGTTGACGAACGTTGGGAGATACAACAAAGTACATCTCTCCATCCCGACCCTCCACTGAGGTGCCCGAGCAGTCAGTCTGAAACAGTAAAATATATGCCGTTATTAATTTGTAATTTTTTTTTACAACAATCGTTGCCCTTCTCTAGAATTCCTCGTGGATTTCAAAAATACAATTTCACATACACAAACATGACACCCAGACCCGGAACAACAATTATTGTGGGTTGTTCCGTACAAGTCATAAATGTAAGTTTTTTAAAATCATCTTGACTCCGAGTTTTTAAACCTGGCAAGTGACTTTTTACGATTTATAACATGTCAACATCATCAGCCTATAAGTGCCTACTGATGAGCAAAGCCTTTTTCTCCCAAGGAGAAGGTTTGAGCGTTAATCACCACGCTTGCTCAGGGCGGATTAGCGATTTCAAAGTTATAATAAGGAATTATAGGTCCAGATTCCCTCACGATGTTTCCATTCATCGTGTGGTGAATGTATGGTGTATTAAGAATCGTAATTTTTATACCCCAGCTTCACCAGCTATTACGTTATGAAACTTTAAGTACATGGTATAAAATTGCCATACCTATATAATATACGTATTAATAAAATAACGCATGAGTCTATTCTCAACTTTTGTAAGAGTAAAAAAATATAGATTTTTACAAGAAGTAACCAACATTGAACAGAATAAATTGCTCACCTCGAAGATGTTGGCAGTAAAGGCAGCTAAAGGTGGCTGCATCACAATGTTGTTGGTCTTCATGTACTCTGGAATCTTGCCCCAAGTATATCTCTTGACAAGAAGGTTGGTCCTTCGTCTAATTATATCGCTAATCAATTTAAAGTTTATCTCCTCAACATGGCCATTGTAAAAGTGTTGAGCCCGTTCCTTATAGAAAGTCAAGATTTTTCCCTTATTTCTATCACTGTAAAGTTCTCGAATAAACGCAGATACCGCTACTCCGGATTCTGGAGTGGTCTCAATGGAGTCAGAAATGTTTTTCAACGTAAAATGTGGGTTGAAGGTAACCATATCATCTAATTTAAGGATCTCATTCATTTCTCCTGAAGTTGCTCCTCTAGCCCCCATAAAAATCATAGCTAACATTGAGAAAATAGAATAAGGAGATAATACAAAACTTCTCTTTTTGTCAATGTCGTCAATCATAACGTTCCAGAATCTAAAAGCTAATTCGTTAGATAATTCCGAGAACCGAGCTACGTCTTCACCTAAGTCTTTTGTAGTTACTTCCAGTCCCTGGTTTTCTGTCGAAAATTCTAGCACAATATCTTTGTTTTCATTGTTATCCGGAATATAATGGTTTTCAGATTTGGTCTTGTCCTTTGGAATCTCATTGGCTTTTGGTGGAGAAAGCGTAGGTATGAGTTTCCATGAACTGTTTCTTTCACTAACTAACTCTTCTTCGTCAATGTTCACCTTTTGTATTTTCTTTTTGAAGTCGTCTACTTTTGGTAATGGTTCGGGAAGTTTATCCTTTTTATTTGTGGCAATTTTGTCACTTAGATTAATCTTATTAAACTTAGACTGGCTAGTTTTCGGTGGAGTAGGCGTAGTTGATGAAGTGGTTTCTACAGCTGGTGATGATGACGTAATATTTTCCCTTGTAATAGCTTGATCGTTGGTTTTAGTGGTCTCTACAGATTTGTTACCATTTTTAGTCATTTCTTTTTCATTCTGAATTTTAACATTTTCATCATTTTTAACAGCATTTTCCTTGACCTTATCGTCTTCTTTTTTGTTTACTGGTTTATCTATGTTATTTTTGTTTTCGGAAGAAATTGGTTCTACTTTACTTTTATTATCAGTTGAAACTGAGATCTGAACAAAATTATGAGTGTCGTCTGATTTGTCATCGGGATTGTTTTCTCCATTGTTAATATCAACAGGTTTTAATATTTGCGGCTTAGAAGAAGCTGGCGTTTCATCTTGAATTGTAGCTATTTTATTCTTATTATCTTCTAAATTTTCATCAATTTTTACATTTTCTTTCGTTACATTCACATTTGTGGTCACAATAGCTGGTGTCTCAGTAGTCGTACTTGTTTCTTTTTTCACTTTATTAGATGTTTCTGAAGTTGTATCAATACTCAGCACGGGACTTTTTGTCGTAATATCTAAACTTTCCTCGGTTGTTGTAACTTTTGTTTCTTTTTCTGGAGTCGTTTCTGAATTGACAATCGATTGTGGTGCCTCATTTGATATTTGAGACAGAAGATCACCCATGGACTCGCTTAAAATTGGATCAATGGTGGTATACTCAGTGGCAGTCTCAGTTGTGGTGAATAGCTCAACTTTTTGGATATTATTGATAATTATGTTACTTTTCTCATTATCGTTACTTGAAGTCTGTGTCGGTTCCGATATTTTATTTTCAGTTGATAACTTTTCGGTTTCCTTTGACAGCGTGACTTTTAATTTATCATCATTTTCTTTAGTTTCCTCTGTATTTTCTTTTTCGTCGTGGGGATCAAGTGTAGATATTTTGACAAAATTATCATTGTTCGTATCAGGGGTTGCAGTTGACTTAATTTCAGTTTCATTTCCATTGCCAGATGGTATATCCATGTCCATCACTTCTTTGCTTTCTAAATCAAATACATTAACTTTAGTCGTATCTAATAAGTTGTTTGTCGTCGGGAGAGGTTGAAAACCTCCACCAAGATCAGAAGCTATTTGACTAATACTTTGAGCAACATCAAACATGGGAAGCAATGGTTCAGGTTCTTTTTCATATTCCTCATTGTCTAAAGGATTATTTTCCATTCCATTTAGGTTATCAGCAGATGAAATTTCAGTAGATGACACAGTTGTTGAGGGAGATACAGACTGAGTCGTAATTGTTGTGATATTTAATTTTTCAACTTCTTGTTCTTTCACTGTGCTTGGAACGTAGTTCGTTGTACTAATAACAGGCTTACTAGTGGTCTCAAATGTTTGAATTTTGGGGATTTCTGTAGTTGTAGTTGTTGTCACAGACCTTTTGGTTGTGCTAGAAGCTACTTCTGGTTTGCGGGTAGTTCGATCGGTTATGTATTCGACAGTAGACACTGGAATAAAGGTGCTGATTCTTTCAAATTCAATTTCATTTTTCTCCGTGGATGAAATTGCGTTGGCATTTGGTTGAATTTGGACTTTGACAACTTCAGGCTCCTTATCTGGCAAAACGCTTACACTATGTTTTTTTGTTGTGATTTCAGGCCTGGCTGTAGTTACTTTTGCAGTTGTAGTAACTGGTTTGAAAGTAGTTTTTTTGGTAGTTGTAGTTGTCGGACGAGGAGTTGCTGTAACTTTAGCTGTGCTAGCGGTAGGACTTATTCTGGTTTCAATATTTATTGTAGTTGGTTTTTTAGTGGTGGTTGTTGAAGTTGTTGGTTTTCTGGTTGTAGTAGTGGTGGTTGGAGCCTTAGTTGTGGTTGTGGCTTTTTTGGTTGTAGTTGTCGTTGGTTTCTCAGTTGTCGTGGTCGTCGTTGTTGTTGTAGTAGTTGCTTTCTCAGTTGTAGTCGTAGGCTTACGGGTTACTGTTGTAGGTTTACGCGTTGTAGTTGTAGGTTTACGGGTCGTTGTTGTAGGTTTATGAGTCGTAGTTGTTGCTTTACGAGTCGTAGTTGGTGGTTTCGGTGTTGTTGTAGTAGTGGTTGTAGTTGTAGTAGTTGTACTTGTACTTGTTGTGGTGGTCGGTTGCGGTTCTTCTTTCGATTCTACCGTAGCAGGCGATTTCTCAGTTACTACTTTATCTTCTACTTGAGTCGTAGAACTACTTATAACTTGGTTAGTACCTTCTTTGCTTAGAGAGTTTTCTTCGTCTTCAATATTTTCTTCCAAAGTTTCGGTTTCTGGGGTTGTCACAGATCCAGACGCTTTATCAAGAACAATGTCAACTCCTGTATTACCGAAAATTGATGGCAAAATCAAACTCCAAGAATCGGAAACGTCTGGTGTGTCCAAAGTAGGTTGAAGCATAGGTTTGTTTCTATGGGCTTCCATTTGCGCTTTGAGGACATTTTGCACATTAGTTACAACGCTATGAACTTTCGTGTAAGGTGGCTGGTTGATGTTGAAGGAAACTGTTGGTTGGTTTTCATTGGCAAATGTTACCAAGCCTTCCGCTTCTTCTCCAGCAGCGACAATTGCTTGTATTTCTTCAAGAGTCATCAGCCTTTTCACGAGTTCTCCAGATTCATCGAATGTGTAGAACTCGTAGCGATCTGGTGTAAGAAGGTTAACGGGGCTACCGACGGTGGCCGGTACATTGGACGGCGGTGGGAGAGAATTTCCCACGGCATCAGCGACGAATGGTAGTTTGTTGCGTCTGGAACAGTTACAAAGAATCCGTTAATAATAGTATAGGTATACAATGACATTATTTCTGTATGATTAAATGTAAGTACTTGTTTGTATTTTGAGTTTATACTTATAAGTAAACCAGACAATCGAGCAAAAACTGACCTGTTATCATTTTTATCAGCCAACACGCAGCTGGCGGCGAGCACCAAACAGAGTAGAGCTCGCATTTTCACCTCCCATACAATCACCATGCACCTGGAACTGAGACAGAAAAATTAAAATTATTTAATAGTCCCATAAATCACAATAATAAAACTACATACGTACGACAGCCTACGTAAAGAGACGCCTAAATAAAGAGAATTAGGCATTTAAAAAGAAAGTTTCGGCCTTAATTTGAGAATACATTACTATTATTACTTTGTCATCAATATCTTATAATGTTGCAAATAGCGACTGAGAATTTGATTTTGATGAAAATCTATGCCATTATGTGAAAAATAAATGATACCTTTTAATAGAAAAGACATCTTTTATGTCCGCATTTTAGATTAATTTGTAACATTACATGTGCATTTTCTCTTTTTATTTAGAATCAAACGTTAGGAATGTTTTAACTACCTCCCACTCCTAAACTTTAATTCTCTTTCATCCAAGTAGTACGACAAATAAAATATCTAATAAGTAACTAACGGATAGTTAGACAGTGAAAAACATAGGATTAGATCGTCTATATGTCAATTTCCCTATTACGCATTTAGAGTTATTATCCTAAGACAATCTCTATAATATTACAGGATCTCTAATAAGTATACACAATTTATAATATAAACAAATGCTTCTATTCTAATCACTCTCCTACTCTGATTAGATTACATGTAGGCACATATTTATATGCAAACACAATCGGTATCGCAAACAATATGGTCAACACGTACCATTTAAATGATGTGCAAAAAACAACCTTATTGAAACGACGCATGTAAAGAACTATACTACTCATGTTAATTCTTTACTTTTCAAATTGTATCAGTTAGGTTTTTGTTTGATTCTGTGTGTACTGTATAATAATTGATGAAAACAAAAAAAAAATATTTACATCAGTGGTCTTCAAGGGCCTACCTGCTGAGCAAAGGCCTCTTCTCACACGGAGAAAGTTTGAGCATTATACACCAATGTCTCCAATGAATAATGTAAAGAAATAAATCCAGAATTCCTCACTATGTTTACTTTTAGGATAGGTAAGGAATTATGAAGGTTTTGTTCTAAAGTGATATAAGAACTTAGGTGTCACAGATAAAACAGTATTTTAACACCATGTTACTAACCTTAAATAAATGTTTAATAATTTCAAACGTTAGAAATAGGCAGTTATTAAAATCAAAATGATTTGACTCAAGTTCACTAACTAAAATTTGCCTACTAAAACCATTCCAAAACTAAAGAAACCATTTGAAAAGAAAGATAAATATTATATTTAAATACTGATTAAGTCACTTTGTACCGATAAGTACGGAATAGGAGGATAATCGTTACTACATATATGTGCTAGAATAAATAAGTAAATACAATAAACTATTTCATATGACTTGGATGTCAGCCAAAGCTGCATAGAAATGTATGACCCACTGTATTTTACTGAAACCGTGTCACATAGTCACACCATCCCAAAGATTCTATTGTGTGCTTGGAAACAGTTATGTTATGTCAAGGTTGAAAACTAAACTTTTAATGAGTTCATTGAATCGAGTTTCTTAGGAACTATGTATTGTAATAATATGTCGTCATAATATCTTTTTTCTCACTTTAAAGTTGAAGAATATTCAAAATCCATTATTAATGTGAAAGAAAGTTTGTTTATTTTATCGTTATCTCTTTTCTTTTTACTCTAGATAATTACATTTACAAATATGAAAAATAATAACTTAGAATAATATTATTCAAATTGTTTACAAAAATATTTAAAAGATTGTAGAAGGATGAATTGCGCTTAGAGATTTCTATAAAATTAGTATAAAAAATCCTTATTTAATTTTAAGTAATAATTATTTGTTAAAACAATTCTTTTTTTTCCTTATAATTTGGCGTATCCTCAAACTACTTCAAAAAAGCAAATAGAACAATGTTCACAATTCGAATTCCTGCATTGGCACAAATATTGGCTCCTGCAGCTACATTTATAGCCTGACATTGTGTGCATAGAGTCGACATTTTCCAATCGTTAGTTTACTTGTGTACACAAAAATAGTAGTTTTTATACCCGAATGGTTCACTACGAAAGGTCAATAATAAAAAGCCGAAACATATTTAAGAACAAAGCCTATAAGTTCTATAAATGGGAATAATTTTAAACCAATGTGCAATAACGGTAATTCGAAAGGAACTTAACATATTTACGTATCTACAACAACAAAAACTATATCTTTATAACTTCTACTGTACTTAATATCCTTTATTAGTTCATAAAACTCATACAGGAGACATCTAAGATTAAATTAATAGACACAACATGTCTTAACAAAAATAGCAAATTATGTATTTTTATATTTCCATCTTCATAAACGTTAATCGTCCATTAATAAACAATAAAAGCCGATAACGCTAACATAAAAGAATATAACTCCCACATCGATAAGTCAATAACAAAACAAACTGTAAAATTGTGAATAAACCTGCTAAACAAGAAAAAGCTACGGTCATTGTCACGGCAACTAGAACGACTAGTTTACCTCGAAACCTTACTAACACCTTTATAACCATTGCCTGTTTTATTTATTTGCGTTTGAAACACGGTTTTAATAAGCTAGTAATGTATGTTGTCCAAAGTGGATTGTTCGACTTTAGAAATGTCATTTCGTTGACGGTAGTTCCGTTGTATTTTGACAAGTTGTTTGCCGACTACTCATAAGTGGGCCACCTGCTCGAGATGGGAGGTCATTGAACTTTAATGGTGACATATTTGTTATGTAAGGTAGTGGAAATTGGTTATTAACATTCTTCTTAAGTGGATCTATGAACTTCGGCAATAGTATGAAGGTTACGAACTCTTTTTTTCAACAAAATAATACATTTATATACATATAGCTGATTGAAAAGGGATATGCAAGCCAGGTCTGCGTCTAATTATAGGTGGCGCAACGTGTTTTTCTAGAAATATTCCCTAGGTCTTAATAAAGATCTTTTTGCTCAAGCGCTATTTATGAAGAAGCAACGATTACGTATTACTAAAATTCTGCAAACATAGTTTCGGTTATCCGATAATACCCGAAGGCACAATTTGAGCCTAGCAAAATGAAGATAACTGTCAATGCAATTGAGATTGGGCCTAAAGCCAAATATCGGGCACGATTCCAGAATACAGTGCTACAACTACTAATACTCGCAAAGTAAAATTTAAGAGCGATTTTCTAAAATTGGAATGCGGGTTGCATTCGAATTTCAAATTCTTAACACAATATAAGTATATTTAAATTTGTTGTTTATTTTCAATATTTTTATTCTTTGGATTCTACGGAGTAACGGCCGAAATAAATAACCGAAATCAGTGGATTTCAATCGATTTTTGAAACAAATTGTACAGATATTGAATTTCTGTTTAAAATAGAAAACACACAATAAGTTTTGAATTAAGATTGATTATTGATTATACATATATTGTTCGTAAGTCGATACAACGGGTTTCGAACGATTGAAATTGATTTTGAGGAAAAATACAGCCTATAGACATCAGATAGGTACTGCCACATGTGTAAATTATTCCAAAAATTCGTTTTACCGATAGTAGTTTCTATCAAGAATCATAGAATCATGCATTTATTCTTTAAATAAGATAGAAATTCATAATTACAATATTAATTCTTTTATTCATATCATTGTGAACATTTAAAGAAAATTACAAAATCACACGCACAAATCTCAAAAGAACAGTTACCAAAAATAAAAAGAGAAACTCTTTCAGAAAAAACACACAAAACATTACAATTATGTAAATACTAGATTAACTGTAACAGTCAAGGTAATCCATTCTAACGAAGTATTACAAATATCAATTACAAAACTGGGTTTTCTTAACCTCTTAAGTGGTAGATTCCGACACTTGAGAACATCTTCATCAGTTAGCATAGATTTGACGAGCAGATGATGCAGTAGGTGGTGGATGTTACAGCAATCTTCCACGGTTCGTTGGTCACCAACAATCGCAGCGATCCGTTACAATCCGCCGATGCGACTCGAGAGACAGTTATTTCTCATGGCTTAAGACACTGGCGACAGCGTATTTGGAGCGTAAAAGATAAAAATATTAAATGTTTATCATCAAAACATTTCTTTTGTTGCGTTTCGCTTGTGAGTTTTGTAAAGTCAATAATGAGTTACGGTTTTTGTTAGCTGTTTATTTATCACTAGCGCCCCGCCCCGGCTTTGCATGTAAGCAATGCTTTTAAAAACAACATGACATAGTGAACAAATTTAGTATAAGCACTAAATTTGTTCACTATGTCATGTTGTTTTTATTCGTTGGTACTAGGTACTAGATTGTAAATTATGAACAATATTGACTGTTTTACCTTTGTAATTTAAAGGAATTAAGTTAAGTAATTCTACATTTAATGACATGTAAATTGACCATTATTGAAGTGCAATTTTAGGTAAAAAAAGCGTTTTGCGGGCAACAAGGTTAATCACCAAGGCCGCAGAAAATAAAAAAATCAGATATAAAGAGTATATTATAGAAACCAAATCTCAATGTATACTAATCCAGAGAACAGTGGAAAATGGAACATGGACATTTTTGGAAAAGTAAATAAAATATTCGATAGATAGCCTTAGTCCGTTCATGACTTGAGCCATTCGATGTAAGAGCTCAACTGACATTGACATGATATGATGTAATATGAATCTGTTCGCACACTCATTACAGAACAATGCACTATTAATTAATAACAACAGATCGGTTTATCGAGCGATCGATACAGTATCGTATGCATGTAATTTGTTAAGTAACTGTATGTAAGTATAGAGGCAGCGTGGATCTATTATCTATGTATTTATGTAGTTACATAAAATACAATCGCCTAATTATGTATATAATCTACAATTTTTTTCTAAGGGTTTCATCCTGACGGTATCAAACAACCACAAAAATTTTGCAAAATCGGCTCAGTCGTTCTCAAAATTTGCACTTAGTAAAACATTATACGATTCATCTTTAACATAGGATATACATAACCGGGTTGTTTAAGGGAGTTTAGGTAATTTTAGCAGTAATTAGAATTTTACCCTTCTATGAAAATTTACTGCAAGACCTCCTTGACATAAGAAGCTTTATTATGACTTTTTTCGTAAAAACTTTTGCTTACAATGAAAAAAGAATTTTTAAAATCTATTTAGTAGTTTAGGAGTCCATCGCGGACAAACACGTGACACGAAATTTTTATATATAAAGATATTAAGAAAGGTTAAGCGGAATCCTTTAATCCTTCGTCATTAATGAGGTAGTTTGACACTCGTCCGAAACAAGAGCGGGCCGCTAGCATCTTAAGAAAATGAAAATGGATACGAAAATAAAGTTTGTAACATTTGACTTATTCAACTCAACTTTGGCCGCAAAGCATCTTACCAGGCACTTATGAGACTGAGCATGATCACATTGAATATTTTAACAGAAGGCTACTGTTAAGTGAGTTATCGAATAAGTGATTGGCAATAACAACTAGGAAATGCATTCAATAAAAATAAGTACAATGACAGAATACAGACAAACAACACAGTTTAAGACTATAAACAGTAGTTATTATTTAATCTCTTTTTTGAAAATTATGACGTAACGTTGAAAAATACTTGTGCCAAACCAAGAAGTGTTTTCTGTGCGCCATCCAGTTAAAAGAATAAGAGTCCCGTTGTGACTCGAAACTATTAGAGCTTTTCTCGGTTCAATCACGTGAATAAGTCTTTATCCAAACTAATATTATAAATTGCGAATGTAACTCTGTCTATCTGTCTGTCTGTATTTTCTTCACGCCTAAACTACTGAACCGATTTGTGTTAAATTTGGTAAAGACATAGTTTGGAATTCGAGGAAGGACATACATAGGATGGTTTGTATCCCGAAAATAAGGTCTACTGAAGGTTAATAAGGTAAAGCATCTTACCCTCCACTTATCACAAT